AGAGACTCTTTCAGGTTAAAATATCGGGGATAAACAGAGGAGACAAAATTATTCCACTGTGGCTGGTGCTTAATTATATGGAATGCTGCATAAATTGTCAAGTGAAAGAATTATTCTGATAAATTAAAATACTAATTAAATAGGCTATTGCAGAATTTTTGAGAACATTACGGGTTCCGCTTCTTCAGGTAATTTGCATATCCTTCATCTAGCGAATTTAATTTTAAAGGATTCTTTTTTGTGTGTGGAAACCCTTTTTGTCTCCCATGAAGATAAAAATGGGAAACGGTTGAAGCCGTTTCTCTCGCCGTCCGTCCCTGTGCTGGCCTGCTGGCCGGCTCACTCAAAGACAGACAAGAAGCTGGCTAAAAAAACATAACAGTAACAATGGAAATCTGAACACCTGGCTGAACAAGGCTTTTGCTTTTTCTTCCGTGTCACAATACTTCAGCAGAGACTTGGAAAGTGGCCAGGTTGTCTTGGCGCTCATGGATGGCAGTGGGGGCACGCTGAGGGCCATCAGAAGTCCACCCCGGATTGAAACACTGCAAAGTCAGAGGGTGCAGGTGCCTCGCCAGCGTGGGATCCACAGTGCACCTCACAGGGTGCAGCAGTCCAGGGCAGTCCTGGAGGACTGGCTTTGAGATGACATGACGCCTGTTCCAATCTAACACAGGGAAGACTGATGACTAGGTGGAGACAGAGCGACCATTTTGAACTTAAAAAAAAATAATAATGAAGGAACAAAGAGAAGGGCTGTGATGCTCGGGACAAATGGTCTCCACCGCTTGTACAAGCTAGAGGAAGGAAAGTCGCCAGCCTCTGTCTCACCGTCACCTCTGCCCATCAGGGATTTCAAATGAGAAGTAAACTAAGGAGGAGGACAGGCCACTGCAGGGAACAAAGCCCGCGATGGTGCAGAGCTGACTCTGTGGGAGCCTCCACCAGTGCTCTCTGCAGAGCGAGGGACCCTGGCTGAGGGGAGCAGTTGGCAGTTTCTGAAGAGGTTTCTCTGGACTGCCGTTGGTCCTTTTAGAGCCCACTCTTCCGGCACCTTTTCAGGGCCCTGCTGGGCTTACTGATGACCATGACATTTCCTTAAGGGAACTAGAGAGTTGCATGTTGCTACCTGGCACATCTTAGAATGAGTCACTAAACAAACGACAATAAGATCCCAGAAAGGCTGTGGCAGAGCCAGGCCCTCTGTGCATCCTCACACCAGCCACGTCTGTTCCCTTCCTCAGGAAAGCCACACTGTGGAGAGGACGCCATAGCTAGGACTACTCACCTTAACCTGACAAGGACATCTGCTGCTCCTAATGTCCTCAAGGAAAAGAAGAAAGAACGTGGACACAAGGATGCACCGTGGGCAGATCCACCCCTTGCCAAGCAACAACAGCTGAAGGAAGAGCATGAATGTGGAAGTCAGTGGTGGTCTCTGCCCTGGGCCTGGGCCCATGGCATCCTCTCTGGTCGTTTGGTTGGTTGTTTGGCTGGACATAAAGAAGACTTATCTATGGAAGGGGCAGTCAGCATGCTGCATTCTGGGTAAAGATGGCTGAGGACCAGACATTGCAAAGTGGACTTAATAGGTACAGGTGTGATCCCCGGATCCCTGGGCTGAAGGTGGCTGAGGGTAAGACTTGGGCCCTCTCATGGGTGAAGGCCAGAGCACGATGGACCACCTGCTGTATTGGAAGCTGTCACACCTGCAGACAGGTAGCATTCCTAAACAGCTGCCACAGAAAGTGAAGTCCTGGTCCTGCTCTGTACAACTGCTGGCCAGCACACCAGGAACAGCCTGCTCCTGTGTGTATAAAGGACACTGGGGTGACCTACTCATGTGTGTACACCCCTCAGTGGGAGGACACCGGGGTGGCCTGCTCCTGTGTGTACACCCCTCAGCGGGAGAACATTGGGTCTCCACACAGATCACTGCATGTCCAGGACACACCCCCAGCCACCCCAATCTCTCACCAACTCATTCCTGTCCAGTCCAATCACAGACAGACAGGATAGAAAGTTGGCTCAGCTAGGGCAGAGACCTGCTTATCTTGATGGGGTCACAACCCAGCACCTGACACAGATTTTGCTTGCCTGAGTGAATGACAGGAAGGGAGGGAGGATGGGGATAAACTCATCTCACCATGCTGAAATCTGGGGTGGGAGACAGGAGCCAATTTTTAAATATGTAGAGTCACTAGTTCCCACTTCTGATTTTCCACTCAAATCTGAAAAGAGCCCAAAAGAATGTTGACAAGGTGCTGGGTTCCAGTTGAGGGAGCAAAGAAAAGATAGAGTCTCTATGTTGGAGGAGGAGTAACTAGAAGGAACCAGGGGTACATAGCGACCTTTGCCCCACATGGAGGAGGACAGATCAGCTGGGCTGCTGGGATGTGGCTGGTGAGATGGTGATCACATGACAAGAGAAAAGGGTGTGAATGAAGTCGGCTGGACAGGGATGGAGATTCTGGCTACTGCTTAGTGTCTGAAAGCCAACAGAAGCACCAACTAGTGTGTTCAGCCATCAGAGATAGAGGTCTCTAGATATTCTAGAACAATGTCAGACAGATGCCCCCTTCCTGCCATTTAATAGTGGCCTGGCTGCTTGCAGAGTCAGTGGCCATGAGGCTCCACAGGTGGCCCAGGGTGTCCAGTCACTCTGTATTTTGTTTTTGTTTTTCATGGGCTTTATTTTTTTGACAAATGGATTCCCTAGAGTGCTTCATCAGGTCTTGATGACAAACCTTTCAGATGAATCATGATTAGCCCTTGCTCCTCAAGGCAAGATCTCAAACCACCCCACTTCCCCGGATTTCCTGGGTGTGGATAATGACACCAGAGCAGAGGGTCACCAGCCCTGGTGACAGAGGCCACAGATCACATGGTTCAGGCCCTGGAACTCAGCAGGGCCGGCCTCTGGCCCTTGACTGGACAACCTCTGCGATTCCTCAGGCCCTACTGAAGGGGAGGTGGGGGGCCCAGGTGAACCTGGAACAGCACGTTCCCAGTGGCTGCCAGCTTTATCGATGTCATTATTTACTTCGTTACTTAGATTTTACCATGTGCTTGAGCCTTGGGTTGATTTGGAAATGAACGAGATCCTCATGCTTTAAAAACCCACTTGAACTTTACAAACAACATGGTCAAGTTATTCACTTGCTCTGCTGCTGCTAGTCTTGAACTGACCACGTTGAATTTAGGAACGATCGGGGTGTTTTGGAGACTGGGCCTGGAGCATGCAGCTGGCTGGACTGTAGACCCAGGCTTTGAGCACTGAGCTCAGCTGAGAAACCAGGATGAGTCTGGTGACTGCCCCGCAGCGTCTCAGCCTGGGGACACACTACCATTTGAGGACTTTGTATTTGTTGAGTGAACTGTTGCTGACTCGTTTTTCAAAAGTCATTCTTGCACATATGTCAAAAGGAAAGGTTAAGATTTAAACGGGTTGGGGAGTTCCTGAAGTACCATCACTCCAGAATCCTCACAGTCGCTGCAAGGCTGGGCTTTCCTGGTGGAAAGCCTCAGAGGGACAGTGTAGCGGGCACTTCCCCAGCAGCCTCTGTACTCTGCTGGGGTGCCAGCAACCCCAGTAGCTCTAGGACCATCTTGGCTTTGGTACAAGGCCTGGCTGCCTCTGTAAATGAGTTTTACTGGAACACAAATGTGACTGTCCACGTCATTGCTATACAACACAGGGCAGGGTGCAAGAGGCACTCACTCCCTGGCCTCTGCTGCAAAGGCTCTACCACCCCAGGTTGGGGTAGGGTTAGCTGCTCTTTTCCACTCCTGACCCTGAAATCTGCTCTGCTCTGTAGCAGTAAATGGAATATTGATAAATTCCATTTGTTGCTCTTTCTTATACATCAGCCTATTTAAAGAATTCACAATTATGCACCCCAAATAGCTGGCCATTCAGTAAATGTTTCCTTTCTTTGAAGGAGAACATTAAAACTGATCGCTTTAAACTTTATGTCTTTAAAAAATATTCTCTTGCCATTCAAGTCTGCTCCTGTGCTGCCACTCGCCCCCACCCCCACATCCTCTATCCCAGGGTCTCTTCCGTCTGCCTCTGTCTTCCAGGGCAGTGGTAATTACCTATGTGTAAAAAAATAGTGTCCATTTGCTCAAAGGGAAAAACTTTCTATAAGACAATGGAAGGCCCTGGAGGTGGAGAAGGCAGGCTGTAACGGGATCTCATTTGTATCCCTCTAACAGATATAATTTCATTACCCAAGATTCATGTAGGAGTATTACAATAAAAGGTGAAAGTAATTGCTATTTTCTTGCTATCTCGTTTTGTATTAATCACAATTGCAAGGTATTCTTCATTCATGGGGTTGGCAATAAAATTCTATTTTTTCTGGTTTTCATTTTCAGTGTGACAGGGACTTTATCCAAAAGAATATTTCCACAGAATCATAAGCCAAGGTCAATTGCCTGGTGACACGCTTCCTCTCCGGGAAGTGGGGGCAGGTGTGTTTGCTGCCTTTGCGTTAGGATTACTGAGTTTTCATTTACATCTGCTAATTGTTTTCCAAGCTCATTTCTCCTGTATGATATCGAGTGTAATTCATTTTCTGAAGGTCTTCCTCATTGGAAGTCAGAAGAAAGAAGGGGGAGGCTTTTATCGGAGCTAAATTATTGCAGGGTGTTTCTTGGAGGGGCGTGAATCAGAGACAATAAAACAGCTCCCAGCACCATTGACACAGACACGCACAGCGCTGCCTTCTGTGAGCCTTTTTATCCACGGGCAATGCTTGTCAGTAAAATGTTATTTCTCAACGATCCTCGAATTCATAACTTACGTCACTCCGAAATAAAACTTTACAGTTTGCAAAGCACGTCTGTGTGGATGATTCCACAAATCTCCCCGGATGGCATGGTTTCACGAGTGAACCCAAAGGCACCCGGGGGTGCTGGGCCCAGGCAGACACTGCTGGGTGGAATTTCAGGGCCCCTCCACACTGACCCCTCTGCTTCTTGGTCTTCCCTCACAGTTGACAACAAGGAGCAGCTGGAGAAGACGTCCGGACTGACCATCCTTCAGAGCGGAACTGGGCCGGTGAGTAGTCGAGGCAAGCCTCACGTCTGTGGTCCACCATGGTCTTCGTGTTGTTCGCCGTGAGGGTTAATTCACCTAGACTTCTCCTGACTTCTGGGAGGAGCGGTTGTTGGTGCGAGATCACTCTCTCGTTGGCTAGAGGTGCTGCTTAATGAGCTGGCAAATATGACAGTGTCTATGCTGCCTTGGAAACAGAAATTTGGTGTCTCACCAAGAAAAGTCAGTTGACATGAGCAAAACAGGGCAGCCTTCAGAAATCGAGATGTTTCACAATTGCTGAGTTGGTGGAAATGAGTAAAAAGTCCTGGGAAGTTATTCCTTCCTCCCAGGCTTCAGTGTCTTCATTATTTAAAGATACCCATTTGGGGACAGGGTAGCGGAATGAGTGCTTCCATGATGTGACTTAAAGTCTATCAGACATTGCTGCGTTGGTACCTGAGCAGACATCAGCAGCCAGGGAGCTGGGCTTCTCACCCCTCTGCGTTTGCTGACGGCCACTCTCCCAGCTGCGTGATGAGGTAATGAACAGTGTGCACAGAGCAGTGGACAAGGTTCCTCTCAGGGGTGACATGGAGCCACTCGTAAGTCAGCGTGGGCCAAAACCAATCTGTGCTCTCGTGTTTGAAATTTCAGATTTCACAGCGCTGGCCATTAAAGATAATTAACTATTAAGGGGTGCTTGTTGATGAGTGTCCTGGCTACACGGCAGAAATGTCCTTGCAGAGCCACTCAAAGATTAGCCGCTTCTTTGGGGAAATCTGCAATTCACCAGCCCTGGGTCTTGGGCTCTTAGAACAAGAGCCTGCTTAATTGGTGACGCTCCTCAAACAGAGGCTGTGCCACAGGTAGAGTGGCTGAAGAGGGGCCAAGGGCACCGTGCCTGGCAAGTGTGCTTGTTTCAGTCACTGAGGGCAGAGTGAAGAAGAGTCACAGCCAGAAACTGAGGGGACCTTCTTGAAGGACACTTCAGGGCCTGCAAATGCCACTCTTTTCGGTGCTGCCTCAGTGCTGGGCTGGCCCAGACTGGATTGATGGATATGTGACAGCTGAGGACACCCTGGTCCTTCCCAGTAGCTTGTTTGTGTCTGTAGCCGTCAGTAACCAGGGAGAGAGAAGCCAAGAGTCTTGGGGCTCCCAGGAACTGTCCCTATCCACAGGTGGTGTGGTGATGGTGGCAGAGAGGGCCAGTGTGGTGTGGAGGGCTTGTCAGTGGTAGAGGAGGGGCTTGGGTTCAGCTCCAGACTCAGCGTGAGCATGCACACCCTGCCTGCCTGCCCCTTCTTAGCTCGTCCAGGGATGTGCTTCTGGTCTGAGTTGTCCCTCAGAGAGGAACAAAGCGATTTGGAGCAAACCTGACTCAGGCTGAAGTCTTGGGGTGACCCAGTTAGAGAAAACTGGGACGCATAGCCCTCTCCCTTGGTATGCAGTGTTTGGCTACCTCAGAAGCCAGCTGTGGTGACGGGGAGGTGTGATCCATGCGTGTGAACTGGCCATACCTGGACAAGGTCTGCAGAGGCAGATGGAGTAGCAAGTGAGGGAGGAAACCCAGGCTCTGTGAGAGGTTCCACGCTAACGCTGATTGGAATGTAGCCCCCTGCTGCCCCCAGAGGGAGACAGGATGTGGCCAGGGGACACAGCTCACTGCCCGGCCACCCTAGCCAGGCTTGGCTCTTACACACATACCTCCCAGACTTTGCTGGCTATGTTTGGGAAGATCTGTACTGTCACCGTCCCAAACCTGAGCCTGACACAGAGCCCCATGGTAGCTTTGTATGCTTTGCTCCTTCCCAAGCCTGCAAGAGCTGGGGGATCAGAGCTGTGACCTCATCCTCCCAGCTTTCACCACAGTCAGGCCTGGACTCTGCTTGCACGTCTGACCTCCAGCACTGCCCCGTCCTTCAAGGCATTTGGCATTTATCCTCCTCTGTACTCGGTATGCTCCTCAGTCTGGTGCCCGTCTTCCACTCTGCAGTGAGCATCCACTTTGTTTTTGAGTACTGACTCTGTCCAGTCTCTGCTCTCACCAGTGGCTCCATTTTCTCTGTTGTCACATGGGGGACAATCAGTGTCCACCTCGGTTGGTCTTGGGAAGGTTTACTGAGATGACAGCTATGAAATGCCCGGGCATGGTGAACACTGTCATCGTGACTGCTGTTCTCACATCTTTACGGACCCACGCTCTGTTTCTCCAGACCCTCCACACTCCATCTCTGTCTCTCCACACTCACACCTGCACCTCTTCACCTCTCGGTTCTGCACTGGTCATTTCCCCAAATTACCCTCTTTCTCTGTGTCTTATCTGCTATAAACTCAAATGCTGGACACTTCCCTTTTTGGTTGCTATTCTTTCATTTCTAGAAAAGAAACATTACATCTAGTGACTTTTTTTCAACTCTGTTCTTTTTTCCTCCTGTCTCCTGCTCTAATAATGTTTGATACCTTCTTTTATCTTTTTAATCATCTTAAACCTACTTACTTCATCATCTTACCCATATTATTTTACTGTTCCCAAGTTTCACTGATTACATCAGCAGATTCTCCCTCCTCCATGTTTATTCTGTGTGGTTTAGAGGTTTGGGGGTGTCTTTCAGTGGTGACTTTATCTTCAGCGGGGAAGTGTGGATTTCTACATGAGACCTTCTGTGTAAGAAGTTTTGCATTTACCCTTGCTGTCTCAGTGGGTCCACTTTTATGTCAACCTCTCACCTGGCCCAGGTCTGGGTTTGAGCCTCCTCCCTACTCCCCCAGGTGGTGGGTGTTTTTTCCTGGTCTCCATTTTCAGGCAAGGCTCTCCAGGGTCCTCACCATGAAGGTCTCAAGCGCAGCTTTCCCACCTCTGTCAGTGAGTAAATATAGGAACCCAGAGTCCCAAACCCCAAGTCCTACACCCTTGAACCTACTTCCAGGAGCCAGGTTTCTAACGGCAAGGTTAGCCTCAGCTCCCAGTCTGAGCCTAGCTTTGATCTGTCCATTCACTGGTGGAATCTGGAGGACCCCTTTCTTCCCTTTGGCCTTGCCAGTGTGCGGTCTTAAGTCGGTATATTTTATGCAACATTTCCACGTGCAGGTGGCGAGAGGGTTCATGCCCTGCACCAGGTTAGTGCTCCATTTACCAGACTTCTGGGTAACTCTCCCCTTTCCTCATTCCAGCAAACATGCCTTTGTATGTACCTGTGTGTTCACACACACACACACATGCACACACATGCATGCATATATGGCCACCCCTGAGTGTGCACATACACGTGCACGTGCACACAATGACCTCGACTCATGTTTCATTGAGAAGATGGCTGCATGCTCCCTTCATCTACCCCACCCACGAGAACGAGTATGTCCCCCTTTTCTTCATTTGTTTATAGTGGACATGGGCACCAGCCCCTGCCTGCTTGGACCCATCTCCTCTCCTCCCCCTGTTGTCGTTCTTTCTCACATCATGAGATGCCTTCTGCACTGTTTATTACTGTCTCTTTCCTCTTCTTACTAAAATTTAAATACTTTCCTTTACACTGTCTGTCACTAGGAATTCCTTCTCATCCTCCACCATTTCTGCTTCTAGTCACTGCGAAATTTAGCAACATGTGTCTGTGTTCCCTGTGCCAGCTTCTCACCCCTGCTGTCCCCTCATTCTCCAGCACGGCCACCTCTGCTTGACTGCGCTGACCTCAGGTTGACCACACCAGCCTCACCCCAGCGGTCTCAGCAGCATTGGCTGCCCACCACCTTCCTGAAACTCCACCTGTGCCACAGTGTCCTCTGCAGGCACTCTCCTGCCAACACCACCCCTGCCCAGGCCTGTGTATCTGAGTGTCCAGGTGCTGTCCACCCCAGAGTGTCAGGCCTCTCTCCTCTGCGATCTCATTCACAATTGGCTTTTATGTTATGTGTACAATAAGCGATCCCAAACATATATCTCTGGGCCCTAAGCAGAAACCACCAGCCTAAGCTCAGCCACCGCCTCCAGGCTTCTCTGCGTGGACATCTGCGTGGCAGCCTCCAAGTTCATGTGAGCAAGGCCAACTCTTGACTTCTGCCGGAACCCATGTCTGTCCCCAACTGTTCCCATCTCACCTATGACAGCTGCTGGAGCTCTGTCTGGAAACCGATTGACCCTCCTGGTGACATTTACATCATTTGCAAAGCTGATCACAACCCTCTGCCCTCTGTCCTCTGCAAGTGCCCACCCTTCTCGTGTGAGCAGGAGGCTGTCCTGGGCCGGCAAGCTTCAGGTAGATGGGCTTGCCGTGGGTGACTGTGAGGACCATGCTCTATATAAGGGACAGAGTGTAAGAGTTGCCACCACAGCCAAGCTCCTCCATTTCCATCCCAAGTCTGAGCCAATCCCACATCTAGTCCCCAAGAGACTGGAAAACTGGCCTTTCTATCCCTAGGGGAAGAAAATACCCAAACCTAGACCACTTGTGTCGCCCCTTGGTGAAAATCTGGCCGTAGGAAGCCCATCCACCCTTGCTCTGTCTTCTACACAGCCTTCGGATGTCTCCTTGGCAACCAGGTATTTGGGGTCCAGCTCTCTGGACTTCCTGTCCTTTCTGCATGGCCGGTTTCTACTTGGAAAGACAGGTGTCTCGCACCTGTGAGGATGATAGGCACCGTCCTGGTGGGCTTCAAGCCCAGATCTCTAGGCATCTATTCGATGTTCATCCCAGTCTGGACACTGCTCTGACAGAGGGAGGGAAGGCTCTGTATCTGCTATAGGTTTTCAGTAGCAAAATGGGAAGAAAGGATACAGGCTGAGGAAGTTGTGGAAAGCCAAAGATGTCTTTTTGCTAATTTTAATTTCCCATTCTGTAAGCCTGATTTTGATGATTCTGATATTTGCAATTCTTCTAATTCCTGACTCTGGAATGTGAACCAGAGTTAATTACTAGAAATCTAGTGGCGTTTACAGATTCCCTCACCAGCACTTGTGACTCACACATGTGATGACAGACAGCAGAATTAAAACATTTTAAGACAAATAGAAGTCTCTCACAACAAAA